CGCGAGACGTGCTGGCGCACGTGGACCTCGCGGCGGAGGCGCGGGTTAAGCCTCGGCCAGCAACGACTGCACACCTCGAGGCGGATGAAGACTCCGCGAGCGATGCCGAAGGGGTCAAGGGGCGAGTCCCGCTGGAGCTCGTTGACGTGGGTGGAGGCGGCGGCAGCGACGTAGAGGAGGACGTGGAGGACGCCGAGATTACCGAGATCTCCCGGTTTCCGCTGCGGGACCACGTCAGAGCAACCGAGCTGGCCCTACAGCAAGACCAACTGCAGCGCTTGGACCAGAAGGGCCGCCTCAGCTACGCCGATAAGCAGTTGAAGAACCTCGACCGAGCGTACAGCGGCATGCTGCAGCCCAGCTTTGCACTGCCAGCCAGCAGCGGCGCGCGGGAACATCAGGGCACGCGGCTGGACGAGACCTTTTCTGACACGCTCGCCCTACAGCGGCAAAGCATTGCGCTCCAAAAGAAGCAAGCGAGCCCGGATGGAGAGATCTTGCCCGATGCTGCGGACGACTGGCCCCCCAGCGGTGCTCCTCAGCCTGCTGCCGAGGACGCCCAACCAGAACTCGTTCCGCAGCTCTTGGCCATGCAGGGCCCGGCGGCTGTTGCGTGGAAGCTCGTCACTGATGCCCGCTGCACGGAGGAGCAGATTGACGCGGTGGCGTTGTTTGCGTTGTCTCTGCAGAAACGCTTTGACGGCAGACCAGACAAGACAACGCATCTCCTCCCCGTGGCGTCCGCGACAGGCAACCACAGAGCGATCTGGCTCGGTGGAGGCGGTGTCGGCAAGACGCGCACCCTCTCCAAAGTGGTGGAGCCGATGGCCATCACTTACTTCGGCGAGCAGGGGTACCTCGGCAAAGCGCAGTCCAACCACGCCGCACACAACCTCGGCCCGCGCGGCAGGACCATGCATTCCTCCAATGGCCTGCTCATGTCGGATTCCATGCAGACAGCCAGGCTGCGCTTGACGCCACAGACGCAGAAAAAGCTGGATCGCCTCACAGGCGCACTCGGCGTCGACGTGATCGATGAGCTGGGTGCTGTGCCGGGGCCTTTGCTGCATGCAGATGCACTGCGCACGACCTACGGCAGGGCGTTGCGCTACAACCTGGACCCCACGAAGTACATGCGCCCGCAGGAGACGTGGGGACGCATGCCTGTGAAGATCTTGTGCGGAGACTTCTACCAGTTGCCGCCAGTCCCCGCCACCGCTTCCCTGCTGGCGCCTCACGCGGGCCAATCCTACGAACACCAACAGGGTAGGAAGTTGCTCGCCGACATCGAGTACGTCATCGATTTCGTGCAGATGCAGCGCTTTACAGACCCGTTGCAACTCGAGGTTCTCCACGCCATGAGAACTCCAGGCGGAAAAAAGATCTCTGACGAGAGCTGGCAGGCGATCGTCAAAACAGAGGTCGTTAGCTCTAGCGGTGCTGCTCAGCCTGCTGCCAGCAGCAGCCAAGCCGCTCAGCCACCTCAGTGGGGCCCTCGGTTGCGTGCAGCACGAGGCTGGTACGAGTCGGCCTATGAGTGGCGCATCGTCTCTTACGCCATGCATGCACAGGCCAAGCTTGATGCGCACGATGCTGGCCAGCTGCTCTTTTACGTCCCAGCAATCGACAGACCAGCTGCGCGCCTCGCGAAGCCTGATTACGACGAGATGCGCGCGGAGCCCAACATCGGCGCTACCGCAAAAATGCCGGGGCTGCTGCCGCTCTTCGTTGGCATGGAGGTCATCCTGACAGAATCCGTCTTGCCGCCGAAGTATGTCCGTGGCGCGCCAGGCAAAGTGGTAGGCATAGAGCTGCACGCTCTGGAGCCTCCGGTGGAGGGCCGCCCGTCCATTGTCTCGGACGGCGTGGTCGTACTCTACTACATGCCAAAGGCCGTCTATGTCAAGATCGATGACAGCGATGAACTTTTCTTGAAGGCCGCGCCGGTGACAGCTGGCAGTGCTTCTCAGCCTGCCGGCCCCGACCTGCGCGGAGTGCTCGCGATCACCCCGCAGGCGCGCCCCTGGAAGTTCAAAGCGAAGACAGGTGGCCCGGCCATCGCGGTGTCCAGGACGCAGTTGACCGTGCTGCCCAAAAAGCAGGGGACTCTGCATGGCGTCCAGGGCAAGACGACGGACCCAGGCTTCATCGTGCACTGGACGTTTCCGCCAGGACTCAAGAAGGAGTCCATTTGGCTTGCCTACTACGTCAGCCTGTCGCGCCCCAGAAGCTTCAACCAACTCTTGAGCCACGGCTTGCCTGACCGGAACATCATCGAATCCGGCCCCCCGGAACAGATCGCCAAGGCCTTTGCCGAACTCTTCACGGACAAGATTGCCGCGACGAAGATCGCTTGCGCGAAGGCCCGACAGCAACTGGGATGGCCTGCGCGAGCTTGAGGAGTCATGAGATGCAGGTTGCGTTGTGGCGGTCCTGTTCAGTCTGTCCGTCTGCATTCGCGTGGTGCTTCTCAGCCTGCATGCGCGTGGTGCTTCTCAGCCTGCGCTCGTGTGCAGCTGTGCGCGGTGAGCCTGCACGTGTCGCGGACACGTTCTGGATCAGGACGGGGGGGTCCGAACCCGAGATGGAATGTTAGCGCTCTGCAGTACAAGTGCTTTTCAGCATGCGACATCCTGCGGTGCTTCTCAGCCTGCAGGGTTCCTTTTCAGTATGCGAGTTCCTGGGGTGAGCTCCGTAGCTCCGTTCCGTAAACATCTTCCTAGAGCCGCTCGCAAGCTTTTGCAGCTGGCGGTCTGCAGACGTAGTCTGTCTCAGCATGCGAGCTCCCGCACGCTTCGCCGGCTTTTGCTGCGCGGACAATTTTCTCACACACGTCAGCGCCGTTTGTAGGCGTCAGAAAAACATGTAGACATTCACGAAGGGCTCAGTCTCTATATCGTCACATCATTACATACGCAGTCGTCGAACACATCGGTGTACATTCAGCGCTTTGTCCTTCTAGCTAGGTCGTTTCGTGCTGAGGCTGAGGCTGATGCAGGCTGAGGGAATGCTGCCAGATATGCTCCTACACATGGCTGTTAGGTTGCTTTGCCGGGATAATATTCAATCCCTTCGCTCATTCCGCCGGCCCATGTTGCATGATCGCTACTGTTTCGCCGTGGGCCCGGGGCCATTGTGGCGCCGCCGAGGAGGAGGAAGATGAGGATGGGAAAGGGGAGGGGAGGAGGAGGAGAGGATGAGAAGGGGAGGAGGAGGATGAAGATAAGTAGGAGGAGGAGGAGGAGGAGGAGGAGGAGGAGGAGGAGGAGGAGGAGGAGGAGGAGGAGGAGGAGGAGGAGGAAGGGGCGGAGGAGGAAGCCTCTCGATGGCATCTTGTGTTGCTCTTTGGGCCAAACAGGGTCGTCGTCAAGATGCTTCTTTGGGAGGCCTCTTGGGGTCTGTTGAGAAGCCGTTCGGGGGCGCCTGGGAGGCATGTTTGAAGCCTTCTGGGGCCTCTTGGGGCCTCTTTTGGGCCTCCTGGGGGCCTCCTGGGGCCTCTTGGCGCCATCTTGGGGTCTCTTGGGGGCCTCTCGGGGCCTCCTGGGGCCCTCTTGGGGCGGAAGGCTCGAGTTTTCAATTCGTGGTCCCCCTCTTGGGCCCCTCTTGGGGCCGTCTTGGGGCCGTCTTGGGCCTTCTTGGGCGCCTCTTAGGCCGTCTTGGGGCCCTCGTGGGCCCTCTTGGGGCCCCTTTGGAAGCCTCTTGGCCCGTCTTGGGGCGCTCTTGGGGGCCTCTTGGGCTGTCTTGGAGCATCGGATGGCCGAAAAGGCGACAAGGCCAAATTCCTTCCAAAACCATCGTACAATGATTTTAGCCTCTTGGGGCCCTCTCGTGAAACCTCTTGGAGGCCACTTGGATGTCTCTTGGGCCGTCTTGGGGTCATCATCGGCGTCTTGGAGCGCTCTTTGGGCGTCTCGGGGGCCTCTTGGGCAGTCTTGGGGGCCTCTTGGGGCACTCTTGGCGCGCTCTGGGGGGCCTGAGAAGCCACGCCCAGGAGGAAAACCATCTCTGAGTAGCAGTTGCCGGGCTGTGGTGGGGCGGCGGTCGGGGTACTTTTCGCCGGGGGACTCCAGGGGCCGCCCCGCGCGCGCGAACTAGAAATATTGTGAAGCATTAGCCGGAGATCTTAGCACGCCTCTGGCCCGTTGGGCCGGCGAATTTTTCGTCACACATCCCCTTGTAGGAGGACATGCCCGACCTAACCCTAGCATTAAATCGGGCCTGTCCCTCCACAGGAGGAATATTCGAGAATAGTCAGCAAATAGTCAGTGGACGATTTTTCCCCAACCATCCTGTGGTGTTGGGTCTTCGTTTTGAAGAGACAGCGCCCCGCGTTCCTCTCCGCTCCCTCCTCCCTCCTCCCATCCGCCTCGTCACCATCCTGCGTTCCACCCACACAGGACAGCGCTTCGTGGCCCCATAGGGAGCTCCACCGAAGGCTCCAGTGGCACAGGCCGCATGCGTCACCGCCTCCCAGGACAGCGTTTGGTGGCCCCATAGGGAGCTCCACCGAAGGCTCCAGTGGCACGGGCCGCATGCGTCACCGCCACCCGGTACAGCGTTTCGTGGCCCCATGGGGAGCTCCACCTACGGCTCCAGTGGCACAGGCCGCATGCGTCACCGCCGCCCAGGACAGCGTTTCGTGGCCTCACAGGGAGCTCCACCGAAGGCTCCAGTGGCGGTGTCCACATGCGTCCGCGCCACCGATTTCGGAGCACCCCTCGAACGTTTCGTGACCCCATAGGGCGCTCCACCGAAAGCGGTACCCACAATGCGGCACTCGCAGCTGCATATGGTTGGGTTCTTCGTCAGGCAAATTCCATGTTGGGTCATCGTGAGTATTTTGATGATTACTTTTTGTTATCGTCCCACATCCCCCTGCAGGAGGACATGCCCGACCTAACCCTAACATAGTGTGTGGGTGGGTGGGGGGGGGGCGGGGAGGCGGGTGTGCCGAGCAGCAGCCTGCGCGCGCGGGCATCGCGCGCGCGCGCTGCGCACAGGCGCGCATCAAGAAGACGTGGCTCACCAACAAGCTCGGCGTGGAGGTCTCGTCCCTGTGGCAGGCACGCACCGCCTCTCGCGCGGGCGGCGCGGAGTTCCGCGAGGTGAGGGTTCGGGGCTCAGGAGACGGGGGGCAACGCAAACGGGGGCCAGCCAGAGCGCCGGATCTTGCAGGATGCTGCAGGGCCAGGGCTGCGTTGACCCGGGTCTGCCGGAGGTTGATGGGCCTCCTACCCACGTCGATTGGCGAATGGGCCGTTTTCGTCCTGAGAGGGCGTCGCGGCCATCGTTTTTGCGGGTCCAGGTCCGTCGGTTTCGGTCCTAGGCCGTTTTCACTAAAGAGAGGTTTACTAAAAGGAGGTTTGTCCACCGCCGATACTGAAGGACCACATCCCAGAAATAATTTCGAGCACCCAGACAAGTATAGAACCAGTGTCGAACGAGTGTCGCCTCCCAGATCCAGGCTAAAGTAGGTCGGAACATCACAAGGCCAGGGCTGCATTGACCCGAGTCTGGGTGCAGGATCCTGCCGGAGCCTGGCAGGATCCTGCAAGGCCCGACTGACGCGGGTCTGCACTGACCCGGGTCAGTGCGTCCCCGATGAGTGTGGGGGGCGATGTCCCGAGACCTCCTCGCGCCGTGGAAGCATCCGCCGCCCCCGCACGGCTTTTTAGATGGCAAGCATGTTTGGCTTACAGAAGGGGCGCGCATCAAGAAACCAGCTGTTGTTCGTCAGGGTATCCTCGGTTTCTTCGCTTCTCGCGCTGCGCGGTGACTTCCCGCAGCCGTTGGAGGAGCTGCTGCGTTCAGGGTGCTCCAGGTTTCCCCTCATATGCACCTCGCGCGCGGGTTCTCAGGGTTGGGTTTCTTGCGAGGGTTTCTTGCGGCCGCGCCCTCACTGTATGTCTAAAGGGTTCACAGTGGGGTGGGGTCTTGGCCCAACCCGCCGGCCACTTGGAGAGCCGCCGCAGGCCGCCGAAAATTGGTTCTGCAGTGGCCCGCTCGCCTCCAAGATGGCCTCCAAGACACCTCCAAGACGGCCAAGATGGCCCATGATAATGTCAAAGACAGTTCCAAGACGCCTCCAAGACGGCCAAGATGGCTCCAAGAAGATAGCCGATGTCCTCCAGACGGCCCAAGAGGCCCCCAGTATGCCCCAAGGAGGGCTCCAAGAGGTCCTCCGGGAGGACAAGATCATGAATTTCCTGTTGTGCAGCGTTCTCGCCTTTTCGGGTTTCCGACGCTCCAAGACGGCCGCCCAAAAGGCCCCCAAGAAACCCGCAAGACAGCCCAAAAGGGCCCCAAGACGTTCCAAGAGGCCCCTCAGACGGCCCCGAGACGGCCTCGGAGACGCCTATGACGGCCCCAAATGGCCCAAAAAGGGACCCACGACTGCCCAGAGAGAGCCCAAAGACGGCCTCCGAAGGCTTAGAGGTCCCTTACAGGCCCCCAGAGGCCCCAAGAGGTCCCCAAGAGGCCCCAGGAGACTCCCAGGAGGCCCCCAAGAGGCTCTTAGCCCAAGGAGGCTCCGAGGAAGCCCCCAGGAGCCCCCCAAGCAGCTCCACAAAGGCTGAGGGAAAACACAATCCAATAGCTTGGCCAGGCTTCAGCCCAACGTTTGGCCGCCTGGGCGTTTCCACCACGCAGGGGGCGGCGATGATTGGCCGTAGGCGTCTTCGGTCACGACGGGAGGTCTTTCCCTGATTTCTGCCCCTGGGAACTCTTATCGGGCCTCGGGGCCGCAACAAACCCGACTCAGGATGAACATTGCTCCCTGGAATGGGGGCAAGGCCCCTGGGGGTCCGCGTCATGAAAAAAGCGACGTCGGCAATCCAGGTCCGTTCCCCCCCCTTCCCTCGTTCTCCTCCTCGGACAAAGCGCGCGTGTTGTACGAGTGGGAGGACATAGCACGGCCATGGAACCGACAGTCAGGGGAGAGAGGGTCGTCCTGCGAGCAGGGGAGGACGGAAAGCAGCATCTGTCACAGATGTCTCGTCGTCCTGTTGGTGCACTCGCAGGCGCAGCGGCATCGTGCACGGGCTTGCATATCGTGTTTCAGGCGTGTGTGCTGAACCTGGCATGCAGGCAAACCCAGCACACTCAGTGCGCGCCCGTGCGCGGTGTTGGCGGCTGTGCCCCCTCGGTCCTGCCCACTGGCTCGGAGAGGAAACACAACAAAGTTTCTTTGTGGGCACGGGCACGGGCCTCTGCAGGGGGGCCTCGCGGGAGGTCGCGCTCGGACCTCGACCTGCCCCGCCCCTCCCTCGGGTGGGCGAGAGGGCCCGCGGGCACAGGCAGGGCACGGGCCCTCAGGGGTGAGGCGGCAGTTCGCCTCCCCAGGCACGGCGCCCCCGAGATTGGACAGAGGGCACGTGCGGGAGCTCCTCCTCCTCCTCCTCCTCCTCCTCCTCCTCCCCCCTCCTCCCCCCCCCCTCCTCCTTCCTCCTCCTCGTCGTCGTCCCTCCTCCTCCTCCTCATCCTCCCTCCTCTCCTCCTCCTCCTCCTCCTCCTCCTCCTTCTCTTTCCTCCTCCTCCTCCTCCTCCTCCTCCTCCTCCTCCTCCTCCTGGAGCACGAGGGCATGAAGGCCACGGTCCGCGCGGCGCGCAGGGCGGCCACGGGCAGGCCCGGGAGCAGGCGGCACTTCCTCTGCCGCGGGCCCTGGGAGAAGCTCGCTCCGCAGCGGAGGAACGAGGGGAGCAAAAATCCGCTACGAAGAGCACTACACATGCTCGGTGGGTGGCGTGCTTTTGGTCGAGAGCCTTGCTCAGCTCACCGCGCAGTCCGCCAGCGATCATCAGACGGACGTTTTCCATGCAGGGCCTCGTGAGGCTGCTCTTTGACGTGAGCCGGGTCGCCATCGGGGAGTTCTGCCGGGCAGCTGTGGCCTGGAAGGCCGACTTGCGGACAGACGCAGCAGAACGCTGCCCTCGCGGTGGCAGGCGGTGCACGCGGGAGTCCTGCCTCGTGGTGGTGGACCAGACCAGGCGAGCGCGGGCCGGGGCCCAGACGCAGGCGCACCGCCAGCAGGACCGCACGTTCAGGCAACAGCCACCGCGACAGCGGCCGCAGCAATGCGCGCGGCGGCACCCGCAGGCCCTGGCGCGGCCACAGGGCCAGCAGCGGCTTGGGGCAGCAGGCGCGCCTGCGCCAGCTACCCGGCGACAGCTCGGAGCAGCCGCGGGGCGGCGAGGGGCGCCCGGCGCCCCGGGGCCGCCAAGGGGGTCAAGGGCTACGCCAAAGGCGGCGGCAAGGGCGGCAAGGGCAAGCCGCCGCCGCCGCGGGCGCGCGGCGCCTGAGCCGCCCGCGCGGGCGGCTCCCCGGCGGCGGGCAGCAGCGCGGCCGTTCGGGGTGCGACGGAGGAGCGCGGCGGCCGCGTCTCCGGACAGCTGCAGACAGGAGGGGGGTGCGAGGATCCCGTGGGCCACGCGGCGAAAGCAATGCAGGCCGCTTCTGAGCCTGAGACACAGGCAACAGTCTTATCGCCAGAGCGGCGCGGCATTCTTGAGAGAACGGTGCAGGACCCTCTGGCGTGGCACCAGCACTTGGGGGCGTCGCTTGAGCGGTGGCGCGCCCGCAAGGGAGGCCAGCAGTTCGCGGCCTGCGGTGTGGCGGGCCCCTCTCCCGAGAGCAAACCTGGCGTGTCGGGCAGGTTGGGCCCGTTTCTCATGGTTGAGATGCTCCAGAAGTGTGGCCACGAGGGCCGAGGACACCCAGTACAGTGCGGATCTCGTGAACGGGTTTTCCCTCGACGGGTGCCGATTTCGACCCCGTCCGAGATCGACTTGACTGAGTTGATGTGTGGATTGGCCGATTTGGGTCGGACGAGTTCGACCAGCCGGCTTCGTCCGGCCGAGTTGGACCTGGCCGAGTTGAACCGGGCTGCGTCTCGGCGATTGACGGGGGAGATTGCCAAATCACCGCGCGACGAAAACGCCGACGAAGAAACGAACAAGGACGACCACGAAGACAACGACAAAATCGAATACAACGACGAGTACGACGACAACAGCACGATGACCAGCGCGACCAACGAATTATCCCAGCAAAGCAACCGAACAGCGATGTGTAGGAGCATATCTGGAAGCATTCCCTTTAAGATTCAGATGAGAACCCAGTTATATAATTATGCTGTTCTCGCAGTCGTAGTCGCATTCGCGATGACAGTCGCAGTGGCGACGGCAGTCGCAGTCACAGCCTCAGCCTCAGCCTCAGCCTGCCTCAGAATCAGCCTGCCTCAGCCTCAGCCTCAGCCAGCCTCAGCCTCAGCATGCTTCAGCCTCAGCATCAGTTTGCCTTCAGTTTCGGCCTCAGCCTCAGCCTGCCTCAGCCTCAGCCTGCATCAGCCTCAGCCTCAGCCTCAGCCTGCCTCAGAATCAGCCAGCCTCAGCCTCAGCCTGCCTCAGCCTCAGCCTCAGCCTGCTTCAGCCTCAGCCTCAGTCTGCCGTCGGCCTCGGCCTCAGCCTCAGCCTGCCTCAGCCTCAGCCTGCATCAGCCTCAGCCTCAGCCTCAGCCTGCCTCAGCCTCAGCCTGCATCAGCCTCAGCCTCAGCCTGCCTCGGCCTCAGCCTCAGTCTGCCTCAGTCTGCCTGCAGCCTCGGCCTCAGCCTCAGCCTGCCTCAGCCTCAGCCAGCCTCAGCCTCAGCCTCAGCCTCAGCCTCAGCCTCAGCCTGCCTCAGCCTCAGCCTCAGCCTGCTTCAGCCTCAGAATCAGTCTGCCTTCAGCCTCGGCCTCAGCCTCAGCTTGCCTCAGCCTCATCCTGCCTCAGCTTCAGCATCAGCCTGCCTCAGCATTCAAAATGTGGCCCGGGAGTGGAGTTCTGGGAACTCGAAGGACACGAACTGGCCTACAGCTGGCTCCGGGCATTCAAAATCATGCCCAGGAGTGGAGTTTTGGGAACTCGAAGACCACGAAGCGGCCTACTGTTGGCTCCGGGCACTCAAAGTCATGCCCAGGAATGGAGTTCTGGGAACTCGAAGACCACGAAGTGGCCTACAGTTGGCTCCGGGCATTCAAAATCCATGCCCAGGAATGGAGTTCTGGGAACTCGAAGACCACGAAGTGG